GTGCCTGTCCTGGATCTCACTCTGTAGACCAGGCTGGCCTCGAACTCACAGAGATCCACCTGGCTCTGCCTCCCGAGTGCTGGGATTAAAGGCGTGGGCCACCACTACCTGGCTGTCTTTAAATTTTTTAACTTGTTTCTTTTGCATAGAGATAGGCTTTCTTCACTAGATTTGTCTTTTGAGATAACCCTGCAATCCCCTGCCTCAGCCTCCTAGTTGCTATGTGTGCCACCATGCAGGACTGTTAAATACGTTTTGTAAAAGCAGTAACTATATTTACCTGCAGACACAGTAAGTCCAATCTGCAACTATAATGCTTTGCTTTAATTTGCTAGTGTGTATATATTTGGACAGAGAATTTAGCTTATGCATCCTTTGAAAATTAGCAATCCATGGCAAACTAACCAGATATGGTGAAGATGATAGTCCTGCTCATACCACATAGTCATCTCTGACAAGCTTGGGTTACAATAATAGATAATGTAATTTAGGCACCACGGACACCCCCACTGCAAACTCTCTTGCTGTCCTGGATGGGCACAGCCTCCTTGACTCTTCCTCTTGGTTAGTGAAGTCCCCTCTGTGATGTGTTCGCTGTACTTAAAAGCAATCCACTCAGTGGTGGACTACTTTGTTGATATAGGAGCCACCTTGTCTCTCTTTTTAATCTCCATCTTGTCTTCTAAGTGAGTTTAACCTAACTCTTCCTGATGGTTTGATTGATCAAGTTTTTAAAAGTTCTCTTAATAAAATTTTTAATAACATTTTGCCTATATAATTTATCTTTTAAAATTATTATTTTATGTCTGTGCACTGTCTAGAAGAGTGGGCCAGATCCCTTGGAACTGGAGTTACAGATGGTTGTTAGCAGCCGTGTGGGTTCTAGGAACCAAATCCCAGGCCTCCAGGAGAGCAGCCGATGCTCTTAACCACTGAGCCATCCCTCCAGGCCCAGGCTGAGTTTTTAAAACTGCCTAAAGGTAGTTTCACTTTTCATTTTCTGCAAGTTTTGGAAGGCCTTGAAGAATCATTGTGCAATACTTGCATCTTCATATTAAAATGAGTTTGGAGCTCTTGAGGTGGCTCAGGACAACCTGAGTGCCATCCCCAGGACTCACGATGGGAGGAAAGAACCGATGCCCCCAAGGTGTTCTCTGACCTCCACATGTGCACTGTGGCAGGTATACACGCACACACAAGACATAATTAAAAATGCAACAAAATCTTTATGTGTTGAATGTTTTGCCTGCATGTATGCAAGTGTACTGTATGTGTGCCCAGTTCCTGCAGAGGCCAGAAGACGGCGCCAGATTCATTGGAACTGGAGTATAATCTGTTGTGAACCACCATGTGGGTTCTCTGCAAGAGCAGCTAAAAACAACAACAACAACAACAACAAACAAAAACCTTTGTGTGTGCGCCTGGGTTTAGGTATGTACATCATTGGCATGCAGGAGCCCGCAGAGGTCTGAAGTGTTGGATTCCCTGTAATGGAGTTAAGGACGGTTATAAGCCACCATGTAAGTGCTGGGAACTCGGGTCCTCTTTAAGAACAGTAAATGTTCCTTAGCACTGAGCCATCTTTCCAGGGCCGTAAGTGGTCTTCACTGCTGGGTCATCTACTCCAGCCCCTAAATTTAATGTAATCAGATTTTAAAAATGAGTTTGAAGCAACGCATTGCCTGATTGATACATGCACACCCTAGAATGAGTCACCTGGTTCCAGGCCAGATAACTTCCACAAAAATGTTTTCTTTAACTTTCTACAGGACAGTAAATTTAAGTACCACCCCCACAATGTTGTGTTAATGGTGTCTTTAACTGTACATCTTGACAGATGATTTATTCCTTAGCATTTTCGTTTCTTCCCTTGAGGATAAACACAAGACTGAGACACCACCAGTTCTGACCTTCTTTCACATACTATTATGACCACGAAAATGAGCACTTTCCAGGCTTTCACGAGGCTGGAAAGACGGCTGATCACCTAAGAGAGGTACTGCTCTTGCAGAGGATCCCAGTTCAGTTTTTAATTTCTTTGGTAGCTGCTAACTGCCTGTGTGTAATTCCAGCTCAAGGGAATCAATCTGATGCCCTCTTCTGGATTCCATGGGCGCCAATACTAACTAGTGCACAAATCTACACACACATACATAATTAAAAATGAAAATAAAAAATGTTTTCGAGACAGGGTTTCTCTGTATATCCCTGGCTGTCCTGGAACTCTCTCTGTAGACCAGGCTGTCCTGGAACTCAGAAATCTGCCTGCCTCTGCCTCTTCAGTGCTGGGATTAAAGGCGTGCGCCACCACCAACTGGCTGAAAGTAAGTCTTTTTAAAAGACACAGAGAGAAGACGGCACCATCACTCACACCTATATCCTATTACCTGAGAGGCTCAGGCAAGAGGATCGCAGCAAGTTTAAGTGTTTGAGACTAACCTGGATTAAATAGTTCCAAGCCAACTTGAGCTGCAGAGTGAGCTTGTCTCAAAAACAAACAAACACAGGAAGCTGGGCGGGGGAGGGATAAGAGGAGGGGGAGAAACACAAGCGAGGCTACAAAATACTTGGTGTCTATGAGAGGTATCACTATGAGTAAATCGATGAGTAAATCCTGCTCACAGGATTAATTCTATGATTGATAGCATCTGTTGTGATGCAGGCTAAGGGTCTTGAAATGATACACTCTAAGGGTCTAAGAGGTCGTGCTTGTTTTCTCTGCCAGTTAAACAATGAAAAGGCAGGAAAATCTGCAGCGCAACAGATAGCGGCAGAGAAACCTCAAGCACCGCAGACAGAATCAGCCGTTGAAGGAAGTCGTTTATTGAGGTGGGGGCGGAGGGAGAGATGAGGAAACGCACATGCGCAGACACACAAGGAAAAGACCCTCTGCAAAGCAGAGGTGGGAGGAGGGGGGTGCTCAGGAAGCCTAAAATCAGTCTCTTCTCCGGGGGTGGGGTTTCAAAGTCTATGAAGAGTTTTCCTTCCCTAATTTCGGGCTGGTCAGTTTGAAGAACGCGAGGATGGCTGACTGGCATGTCCTGAGCAGGGCTGATCCAGCCATCCATCAGCAGGGGCTTGCTGGTGGATGACCCAAACCCACAAAGCCAAGCTTTAAATCGCCAAGCTTTCGTCTCAAGGCAGGAGGGCGAGGAAAAAGCTGGCCGTCTTAGAAGTTCGCTACCTTTATCTCCTAGTAGCAGCCCCTCTCCCCATCTGTTTGCTAACAGTCTCACTCCTAGTTTCACTTTGCTTTGATAGTGAGCCTCATAATGGCGCACGAGATGTCCTTGAATATACCTAAGTATGTAGAAGTGTTTCGTTGTGATGGTGTGCAGAATTTCATGTAAAGAAAAGGTTAATGATCTGGATTATTCTGATGAATATTAAGCGTGCAATGTCCTCTTCACAACCTTCATCCTGACTGCTGAATTTTTAGTAGAAACCGAGTGCCTTAGTGGGGCGGGGAGGGATGGGCAGGGTCTGAAAACTCGGTCCACTCCCAGCCTTTGTAGAGAGTGTGGGGGAACCGCGGAAACCTAACCTAACCAGTCAGGAAGCAGAGAGCTGTTGAGTCTTCTCCCTTCACACCGGAAGCAGGAGCAGGATCCCGCTCTCCAGACTCTCTGTCTCCTGTGCTGCACCTAACAGACGCGCACCCTGGGAGAGCAACGCGTCTCCATAGCAACCGGACAGTCAAGGCGCGGAGATGATGAGCGGGGCGGGGCTAGGCGGCCCGGGGGCGGAGCTCAGTCTGTCCGGGGCGGGGCGCGGGCGGTCCCAAATCTCCAGTCCACACCGCGGATTGCGTTTAGGCGGCAGGTGGAGAGTTCTCGCCCTGGGTAGCTGGAGCTTCTACCTGGAATGGAGGAAGGAGATGTCTCCGGTTCATCCGTGCTGTCTGGGGTGACTGATGGGCAGAACACGACAACAGACACAAACTCCGAAGTCCAGCCGAAGCCCCTTGTGCTCAGGCTCCTGCAGGTGGAGAACGAGCTTGAGGGTGAAGAGGCCGAAGCGGGTGAGGAGGAAAAACAAGGGGAGGACATTGAGGATGGCGAGTTCTCCGAGTCCCCTGAACTCTCCAAGACTCACAAATCCCACGAGGCCTCCACATCCTCCAAGTCCCGCAAGGCCAGCGAGTCCCTCCAGGCTCGAAAGGCCAGCGATCCTTCGCAGTCCCGCAAGGCCAGCAATCTTTCCCAGTCCCGCAAGATCAGCGATCCTTCCCAGTCCCGCAAGGCCAGCGATCTTTCCCAGTCCCGCAAGGCCAGCGATCCTCTCCAGCCCCGTAAGGCCAGCGATTCCCGTCAGTCCCGCAAGGGCAGCGAACCCCTCCAGGCCCGCAAGGTCAGTGAGCCTCTTCAGTCACCGCAGGTCCACGCCGGTGGAAAAGGCGACTTGCTTCCGAACGCAGTGATTACGACCTCCCCATCTTTGATAGCCAGATACCTGCCGCGGCTGCAGCTGGCTTCCTTGAGCGGTAGGTTTCGCCCCTCACACCCTGCCGCCGAAATTCACCCATCTAGAACTCAGGAGTCTGGCTGAAGGTTCACGTGTTTAAAGGAACTTGACTCTTGTGTCGTCTACCTGTTGCTTTGCAGACACCTCTCTTTGCACCTCAAGGAATTCCAATGGGAAACTGACACCCTAGTAATGACAGAAACCACCTCACCACTTGCAGGATTGAAAACGTGTGCCTCCTCACACGTACTAGGCAAGCACTCGATAGCACCGGAAGCCCTTCTAAATCCTTATTTCAGCACACCAGTCTGTTCTGCTGGGTTACACTTCGACTAGCCCTTACTATTTGTACTGGAGATATTTTGTTGTATTATTTCTCTTACTCCCCAACTAGAGACAGATCCTCGAAGGGTAGCATTGGGTGCTTGGGCCCAGGGGAACCGAAACGTTCAGGGGGAACAAGGACTGAAAGAGTCTCTATTCATGGTCTGGTCAGTCCTTCTCAAATTGACAAGGTAATAAGGCTGGTGGGACTTGAACAGAAACATCCTTGTTTTTTACCACTTAAGCTCACTTCCAACGCCTCGCTAGACTGTTTGCATTGGACCTGCAATCCCATGTGCTCACTAAGGATTGCTTCTCACCTGGCCTCAGTTCTATGATTTATCACTGCAGCCACCCCCTTACCACATGCCGGACTGGCTCCGGGCAGATTGTCCCACCCTGGGAAATGCCAGCGCTCTCTATATCCCTAGCGGCTGACTCTTGCTATCCAAAACTGCATTACGGTACTGATTGGTTTTATTTCAACTGCATTACTACAAAATTTAATTGGCACTGGGTGCTTTCTGGCCGACGCCCTTTTACTGACTGGGTAAGTTGGTTTTCCCAGGCTCTGGCATGACTAAACAATTCTTTCTCCGCCTCCAACCATCACACGTTTGTCCTTCACCCTCTGGGGGACTTTACCTCCTACTTTATCAAGAAATAGAAGCGATTGATCGTGAACTCACTTAATTTCCTACCGCTAGTTTATTTATTGACCTCCCAAGACTAGTACCCTGAGTCTCCCTTTTCTCATCCTTCAGGAGACAATTGTGCTTGTTTTTATGAAAGCCTCGTTCTGCATGTATGTCTCAGATTCCACTTGTTTCCTGAAGAACTCTTCTTACCTCTGTCTCCATTCCCCTGCACCATCATTTTCCCCTTTTCTAATGAATCAGTCTCATGAGCAAACACAGGATCTTACCTTGAAATAACCTTTGAACTCATGCCTTCATTTCCTGTCCTTATCTTCTTAGCTACCTTCCTAGGTCTCTCTTCTCTCTTCATCAAACCTGCTCCAAGGCCGGGCTGTGGCGGTGCGCACCTTTATTCCCAGCACTCGGGTAGGCAGGCAGATCTTTTGAGTTCGAGGCCAGCCTGGTCTACAGAGCTAGTTCCAGGACAGCTAAGGCTACACAAAGAAACCCTTTCTCAAACAAACAAACAAACAAACAAACAACCCCTTCTCTAGTGCACCCCATCCCTGTCCCGTGTGTGGGGATCTCAGCATCCCCAGGTGTAAGCCACTGGACTTCTTATTCTGACGTCCTCATTGGGAGGACTTTGGCTTTCACCCCCATCTTGGGCTTCCCTTTCGCCCAGCTTCCTTCAATTGCTCTGCCATTTTGGAATTTTTTTTTCCCAAGATTTATTTATTTATTTATTCATTTATTTAGTATACAGTGTTCTGCCTGCACACATGCCTGCACTGCAGGCCAGAAGAGGGCACCAGATCTCATTACAAATGGTTGTGAGCCACCATGTGGTTGCCGGGAATTGAACTCAGGACCTCTGGAAGAGCAGCCAGTGCTCTTAACCTCTGAGCCATCTCTCCAGCTCTTGGAATTGTTTTTTAAGCGTGCTGTCCAGCTACGTGCAATATTTTGAGCTCGATCATGTGTCTCCTTTTTACCAAAATTTAGCTCAAAAAGCACCATTAGCCCATTGATCTACTGATCTCTGATTCTATGCCACCGTTCCCTTGTGCTCTCTCCCTTCTTTTCTTATCTTCTGTGACCCACTTTTGTCCCTGTGTCATATTTTAGTAGTGTGTTCTCTCTCTCTCTCTCTCTCTTTCTGAAAGTCCCAGGCTGGCCTTGCCTAGGATCCTTCTGAATCCTCTCGGTCCTGGGATTACAGGCACATGCTGCTGTGCTTTCCTGATTCTCTCTGGTGACAGACAGATATTACAATAGGAAGCTAGACAGCTGTGTGGCTTGGTCTCTAAGTTCATGCTGCTTAGCAAAACTACATTTCTAAATGCTCCAGAAATCACCGTCCATGTTCATCTTTCCCTATTCCCCTATATCCCCCTTCCTCAACATCACTTAAACAAACCTACAACCGAGGTTGGAGAGTGGGGTTAGAGGGCTCATGGGAGCATGGGGACCTGAGATCTCAGCACCACGTCATGGGTGTGGCTGTACCCTCCTGTAAACCCCGGTGCAGGGGGCGGGCGCAGGAGGAGGAGACAGACAGCAGCCCCCTGTCTCAAGGAGTTAAGTGGAGAATGATAAAACAGGACACTCAGCCATCCTCATCTGGCCTCCTTGAGCACACGTATGGGCATTCCCACATGCAGCATGCACTCTCACATACTCATGTCCTTTTCTCTGAAGTCTACTACAATGCAGCATCTATAGGTACCCCCTTTCTCCAGTCAATGGTGGGTGAACTGTCTCTTACATCTCTTAATGGCCATTCCTGCACCCTATCTGTTGGATCTCATCTAACTTTAAAAAATTTAAAGCCGGGCGGTGGTGGTGCACGCCTTTAGTCCCAGCAGTCGGGAGGCAGAGGCAGGCGGCTCTCTGTGAGTTCGAGGCCAGCCTGGGCTACAGAGTGAGTTCCAGGAAGGGTGTCAAAGCTACACAGAGAAACCCTGTCTTGAAAAAAATTTAAAAATTTGTGTGTGTGTGTGTAGATGATGTGTTTATGTGGGTGTGCATATGTGCCGTGGTGCTGAACGGGAAGAGTCAGAGGACAATTTTGTGGGGTCTGCTTTTATGTGGGTTCTGGGAATCAGATTTAGATTAGATCACCAGGCTTGTGCAGTAGTGACCTCACATGCTGAGCCGTCTCGACAGCCCCCATCTACCCTCTCTCTGCTGCATCCTTGGGGTCTCCTCTCTCTTGGACCGTTCCCATTGATACACAAATATTACAAGATTACTCCACCTTAGCCCTGTGGACCCTTCCCTTCCCGATACCACTCTATTTCTCTGCTTGACTTAAAGGGGACAAAAAAAAATCCTCAAAATGGTTGTCTAAAAGTCATGATTTCAGTGTCCTCTTGAGAACTAGTTAAATTAAGATTTCATTCTGTCCACTTAGCTGAAGCCACTTTTGTTGAGGTCACAATGATCTCTCTCCTGCCCAGAGCAAAGGGGGACCTTCATTTGACACATTTCCTTCTCTCTTGGGAATCTGGAATAGTAGTACCTCTGCTGTCCTACCTGGTAGATTCTTCCTGACATTTCCTTTGCCTGGAACCTTCTTTTCCCAGCTTTTAGGTTGAGGCTACTGATGGCTTAGTCGTCTCCGACTCTTCTAGAACTCTCTTTATTCTCTGGATGATGTCATCAGTTCCGTGACTTCATTGCCAGTAGCTTCTCAAATTATTTACAGCTTTTACTTCTCCCCAGAACTCAATTATCTAGCATTTCCTCTTGACTATCCACATAAAGTTCCATGTGTCTAAAAACCTTGACAGAGCTAAAACATTAACAAATCCTAACTTTGAACTATGTTCTATGGCCCTTTCTTAGCATCTAAATTATCATTGTGTGCTATTTTTTTCTCTTGCTGGTCCACAATAGCCTCCAGGTGGCCACCTACTTTGGCTCTTAGCCCTACCCTCCAATTCATTATCCACATCGGAGTCAGGGGAGTCTTCTAGAATATACATCACAAGCATATTTCCTGCTCTCAACCACCCCAGAGGTAGTTCCCATCTTCTGTAGCACGTAATCTAACGGGTTTACAGAGCCTCACTTGATCTAGCCTTATCATGAACCTGAGTTTTCTTTTCAAGATAGATTTCCATGCAGTCCAAGCTAGCTTCAGACTCAGATAGCAGAGGGTGACCTTAAACTTCTAATCCTCATGCCTTCGCCTCCACAGTGTTTGGGATTGCAGGCATGGACCACTGTACTTGGTTTATGGCGGCTAGGGATGAGCCCAGAGCTTTGCGTGGGATAGATAAGCACTCTCTCCCTCAGCAGAGCTACATCTCCAACTCACTGACCTGATCTTGAACTTGACCTGGCATATCTAACTTTATAGCACTTCCACTTACCTTATCGTTTTTTTGCTCTTGAGGAGAACGGGCACCCTCTTCTCCCTCAGAATCACCTCACTTTTTCTTCTACTGGGAGACTTCCAGCTCAAGTATTTGCTCCTTCCTCATACTAAATAGTTTTTGACCTGCTAATTTTCTTTAAAACACATATCCAACTCAAATTTGTGTCTCTGTGTTTAGTTCTTTACATTACGTTCTCATGAAGGCAGAACTTAATAATATTTGTTGGATGAAGAAACTCTTTTTATTGACTTCTGTATCATAAAATCCAATGGGTCCTTTTGTGTCCTGCGTGTTGTAAAAAGATCAGGGCTAATACCCGTGAGGGATGTAGAACAGGTTTTGGTACATGGTAGGTGTAGAGGAGACACTAGCTACAGGGGTATTGGTATTATCTTATTTAATCTCTTGGCAGCGTTCCATATACATAGCTCTTCCCTTCTTGAGGCACAGACCTCATGTCCTCTGTAACAATAGTCTCCTCAGTTTGTTCCTCGGGCTTCTTCACTGACTCCCTGCTGTATCCCCAAATTTTAACATGCACCTTCCTGATGCTGTGTCTCATTTGTTTACTTAGAGACAAAATGTCAGTATGGAACTGAGGCTGACCTGAATTCATGATCCTCCTGCCTCAGCCTCCTGAGGGCTGGGATTACAAGTGTGTGCCACCAAGGTAAAAAAAAATTTTTTTGGTGTTGGAAATAGAATAGGATCCTTGTGATGAGTGTGCTATGCTTGAAACCTAGATGGTCCACAATGTCAGAATTTATTGAGTAAAAAATAAATGTATGATTGGTAGTATCAGTTTCATTGGTTGGACTTGCCAAGTAGTCCCAATTTCCCTTTTAGGTGGCCATTGGCAAGTACACCTCTTCCTTCTCCTCCTTCCCGCTCTCCTTTCCTTCCTTCCTTCCTCCTCTTCCTCCTCACTCTTCTTTGAACTGGGGTATCTCTGTGTAGCCCTGGCTGTTCTGGAACTCACTAGGAAGACTTGGCTGCCCTTGAACTCACAGACATCTGCTTGCAGAGGCTGGGTGCTGGTGTAGGTCCAGACAGACAGCAATCAGACAGGCTGTGTCTGTAATAGAGACGATCTGAGTGAAGCCCTGGACAGTCAGGAGTTCTCTGCCTATTGGTCCTGCAATGAACACTGCTGGGGTCCCATGAAAGGACGTGGAGTTTGTCACCACTGCAGTGTTAGGTGTCCTGTCTTATGGGTTGACATGCTACACTCTTCTTCAGTCTGGTGTGTCTGATAAGTTCTCAAGTTATTTTTTTTTCCTGACATGGTTTTAACACACCCTGTTCATGTGTTCTCAATCTACTTTGTCAAGTTTCCAGGCAGTGCCTCTGTACTTTAAGAACTACTTATTATTCTGTGCTTTATGGCCATGTTGAAAAGGTGCTCTCTGCATGTACAATGAGATACAAAACCATTTGCTTTTGCCTCTGTACTCAACACTGAACCAAATTCTGCTTATAAAATAGTTACCTTGGCAACATACAGCCTGAAAGCCACTGTTTTTACACAGAACAGAGTAACTTAGAGCCATGCACAGCTTAATCACAGCAGTCTTTAAACATAGTAGACGAGGTCTCTCCTGGTGAGCCGTAATTCCTATATCCCCTTCCACCTTTCTGTGGGTTCCATGGATCAAACTCAGGCCATCAGGCTTGCATCAGGTGGCGGGGGAGTCACCTGGCCAGCTCTGTAATGTACTTCCTAATGGAAGTCTTTATTTCCTCCCAATCCTCTCCTTCCGTTTTTTTCCATCTAGGAAAACAGCACCCAGTCGCTCACACTAAAACAATCTATTCTTCCTATAATTCCTTTTTTTCTCACTCCCAAACACAATTCAGCCAACAAAAGTTCTGTTAGTTTGATCGAACAGTTTGTGAAATCATCCATCTCACCTGCTAACACCCACCCCAGCTATGGTTATTTCTCACCTGGATTTCTACTTTGGCTTCTGGAAGAGTCTTCCTGTTCTCATTCTCATGCCCTGAAGGCCCGTGGCTACCCCAGCTAGAGTAGGTATTAAAAAGCCCAGGTGGCGGGCTGGAGAGATGGCCCAGCGGTTAAGAGCACTGACTGCTCCTCCAGAGGACCCGTACAGAGGCCGTTTAATGCCAATACAGCTATTGAACTCGCAGAAGATTGCTGGAGAGTGCAAGGAGCAATTAAGAAAATGTGCCACAAACACGCCCAAAGGCCAGTCTGATGGAGGCAGTTCTTAAGGTGTTGTTCCTCTTCCCAGGTGACTCTGGGTGCCTGTCCAGTTGACAGCTGAGGCTAATTGTGAACACGGGCTTCTTCGTATTCCCGTGGATGTATGCGCTTCTGCCTTCCTCTCATTTGAGGTTGCTTACGTGAATACACGCAGGAATGTGCTACAAAGAGGCGCATCTGCGCAAAGCTACACAGAGAAACCCTGTCTCGAAAAACCAAAAAAAACCCAAAAAAACAAAAACAAACAAACAAAAAAACAAAGAGGCGCATCTGTTCTAAGACGAACGATTAATTCAGGGAGGGAGGTAAACACTAGTGGAGGAAGAAGGAGTAAAACGAGAGAATTTATAGTAACGCACAGCACAGGCTCATCCCGCCACTGCAAGCACTGACTAGCTTTTCCTAATACAGTCATCCCCTCGGTTCCTAGCACTTAGCACTCTTCATGGTAGAGTTCTTCCTTGTCTTGTCCTCACAGGTCAACTTCACCTCGCTGGTACTCGGGCATGGACTCCTTAGGAGGCAGGCAGCGGCTGGTGGAGAGTTCTTCTGTGTTGATATTTCTTCATCCTCATCAGGAGGATTTATCTGAGCATGACTGGGTCCCAAGTGTGCAACTGTCTGGAAGCATCTCCCCAGAAGGTGGCAGTCTTGTCCACCGATGACTCAAAGCCCTGCCATCAGCCCCGTTAGTCGGCTGTGGGTGGCTACCTAGAAGCAGTGGGGTTCAGTGCTATGGAGTGTTTTTGGTTTCTTTTACTCTTTGCTCTTTGGTGTGTGTGTGTGTGTGTGGGCTCCACCCAGCTCCCAAATAAGTACACGGAGTCTTATTCTTACTTATGAGTGCCCAGCGTTAGCTTAACTTGTTTCTTGCCAGCTTTTCTTAACTTAAACTATCCCATCTTCCTTTTGCCTCTGAGCTTTTATCTTTTCCCATTTCTGTATATCTTTTCTACTTCTTACTCAGTGTCTGGCTGTGTAGCTGGGTGACTGGCCCCTAATGTCCTCCTGTCCTTCTTGTCTTGCTCCTTGATCCTCTCTTCTCAGATTTCTCCTCCTATTTATTCGCTCTGCCTGCCAGACCCACCTACCCTCTCTCCTGCCTGACTATTGGCCATTCAGCTCTTTATTAGACCAGTCAGGTGTTTTAGACAGGCAAAATAATATAGCTTCACAGAGTTAAACAAATGTAACAAAATAATGCAACATATCTTTGCATCATTAAACAAATGTTCCACAGCATAAACAAATGTAATACATCTTCAACTAATACTCCACAACAATGGCGTAAAACTGAAACACTAGAAATGGAGGGATGGAGCTAGAATGTTCTGATGGTCCCTGGGAGGAAGATATACTCAGCCATCTTGCTCCAGATCCTTCAGCTGCTCCTGGCCAGATCCCAGAAGCAGAATCCCTCCAGGGTTGGAGGTCATCTGACCCAACCACACGTCCACTGTCCTTCCTCCCTGATGTTTTCAGTCACCCTGGCCCATGACATTGCTGAGCCTCTGACCTGGTTCCTCCACAGCGCTTCCACACTCGCCACGTCCTCTCCTGTGATGCTGTCCTCAAATTCATCTTCTTCCACATCAGAAGGTACCGGAGTACCTTCTCACCCCACCCCCTCCATCCCCCAGTTCAAGTATCACTTCCTTTAAAAGGTGCTTCCCAGACTACTCTCCCTAAAGTAGGCAATGTCTTCTGCTTACCGGGCACCTCATGTGCACTAATTTCCATCCTGAACCTATTTTCTTGATTCTTGTTCCTCTTTCTGTCTATTTAGTGTTAAGCTACACGAGGATAGGACAGGGACTTTAGACGCTTGGTCTTTTCTATTCTACCGCTTGGAGCAGGTGGATGAAGGAGTTTTCTATACGGACATTTCTGATACCCTCTAGATTCGCTTGGTAGCTACTGAGCTCAAGTAACCTGTGTCCATTTTGTCATATCTTCGAGAGAACCCATTGGAGTAAGCACTATCTGCGTCCTCATTTTACAGATGAGCTAACTGGGACACAGAGGAGACAAATGACGAAC